CCCACATTAAAAACGTTACTAGAACCTCCTTCTTCCACCTGCGTAATATCACTAACATTAGAAACATCTGATCTAAAGATGATGCAGAAAAACTGGTCCATGCATTTGTCCCGTCTAGACTGGACTATTGCAATGGTTTATTATCTGGGTGTCCAAATACTTCTTTAAAACATCTTCAGTTGATCCAAAATGCTGCTGCCAGAGTCTTAACTGGAGTTACTGGGAGAGATCATATCTCTCCAGTTTTAGCTTCTCTCCATTGGCTCCCTGTCAAATCCAGAATAGAATTCAAAATCTTACTTCTAACCTACAAAGTCCTCAACAACCTAGCTCCATCTTATATTACACATCTTATTGTTCCATATTTTCCTAACAGAGCACTTCACTCTCAGACTGCAGGTTTACTCGTGGTTCCTAGAGTTTACAAAAACAGAATGGGAGGAAGATCTTTCAGTTCTCAGGCTCCTCTCTTGTGGAACCAACTTCCAGTTTCTGTCCATGAGACTGACACATTGTCCAGTTTTAAAACTAGGATTAAGACTTTCCTTTTTGATAAATCCTATAGTTAGGGTCAGCTTGGGTTTCCTGAGCTGTTCCTTAGTTCTGCTGCTATAGGCTTAGACTGCTGGAGGACAAACTGACCACAATTTTCACTCTGCTACTGTCTTTACTTACTCTGCTCAACCTGGTTTGTATTTGTAATTATTTTTTCTATCATTAACATGTTTTTTGTCTTTCAGGTTCACCTGGACCTATATCTGGACCTGGACCTGGACCTATACCTGGACCTGGACCTATATCTGGACCTGGACTTATATCTGGACCTGGACTTATATCTGGACCTGGACCTATATCTGGACCTGGACCTATATCTGGACCTGGACCTATATCTGGACCTGGACCTATATCTGGACCTGGACTTATATCTGGACCTGGACCTATACCTGGACCTGGACCTATATCTGGACCTGGACCTATATCTGGACCTGGACCTATATCTGGACCTGGACCTATAACTGGACCTGGACCTATATCTGGACCTGGACCTATATCTGGACCTGGACCTATATCTGGACCTGGACCTATATCTGGACCTGGACCTATATCTGAACCTGGACCTATATCTGAACCTGGACCTATATCTGGACCTGGACCTATACCTGGACCTGGATCTATATCTGGACCTGGACCTATATCTGGACCTGGACCTGTATCTGGACCTGGACCTGGACCTATACCTGGACCTGGACCTATATCTGGACCTGGACTTATATCTGGACCTGGACCTATACCTGGACCTGGACCTATATCTGGACCTGGACCTGTATCTGGACCTGGACCTATACCTGGACCTATATCTGGACCTGGACCTATACCTGGACCTGGACCTATACCTGGACCTGGACCTATATCTGAACCTAGACCTATATCTGGACCTGGACCTATAGCTGGACCTGGACCTATATCTGGACCTGGACCTATATCTGGACCTGGACCTATACCTGGACCTGGACCTATATCTGGACCTATGCCTGGACCTATACCTGGACCTACCATTCTGTGTTCGTCTGTCTCTCCTTCCTGTCCTCTCAACCAGCCGGTCAAAGCAGATGGTCTCTTGTCCTGAGCTGGTTCTGCTGGAGGTTTCTTCCTGTTAAAGGGAGTTTTTCTTTCCACTGTCTCCACTGTGCTTGCTCAGGATGGGAGACTGCAACGAAGCCAAGATTCATCTTGTCTGCTGGATTCCTCAGATAGAGAACTTTACTAATTATGTGAATGTTCCTGTAAAGTCTCTGAGACAACTTGGTTGTGATTTGGAGCTTTATAAATAAACTGAATTGAATTGAATAAGAGAAAATACATTTGACCTCTTGACTGTTCTAAAAAACTGTTTTCTGTTTTTCTGTTTTAATTTTTGTAAAATAAAAATAGGGTTTGTAATTGTTTTGCATGCTTTTCCCCAAACTTTAATATAATAGATTAAATATGGAACAATCATTACATTATACAATATATACAAAGCTTTGTCATTCAAAAACTTCTTAACTTTATACAATAATACAATTGATTTTGCTTTTTAATTCTTAAGTAATTTACATGAGATTTTTACGTCAGCTTCTCATCAATAACAACTCCCAAAGTTTTATTTCATTAATTCTATGAATTTCAATGCTGTCAGTTTTAAATGGGACTTTGATAATTTTATTTCTATTATTAAATATCATGTAGTTTGTGTTTTCCAAATTTAATTATAATTTATTAAGTTGAAACCAAGTTTGTATTTTTATGAATTCTGCCTGTATCATCTCTAACATCCGTTCAATATCTTCACCCGAACAAAAAAAAAGTGGTATCATCTGCAAATAAAACACTTCAAAAGCCCTGACCCATCATCCACATCATTCACATACAAAATAAACAACTTTGGTCCCAACACAGAGCCTTGAGGGACTCCACATCCATTAACACAAAATTCTGATCTTACATCGTTTACCTGTACAAACGGTCTCCTATAATTCAAATAACTGGACAGACCCTGTAGTGCGAATCCTCTAACGCATATTCAGTTTTTCAAGGAGAATGGTGAGGTCACTTGTGTCAATTAGTGAACACACATTTCTCAGCATTCTTATAAAGAGGAACTATCTTTGATATTTTCATATTTTCTGGAAATGTTCCTGTTGAAAATGATAAATTACATAAATATGTAAATGGTTCAATAACATAACTCATTATATCCTTTACAAACATCATGTCCATGCAGTCTTTTGATCTTTCATCTGTAAGATTTTTTACAATCCTCAGTATTTCTTCTTCATCAGCGTCTCAGAGAAAAATGCTGTTGGTCCGACCCATGACTCACATCTTTATTTACATTTGGTATTTTAGCTGCAAGACTTGGACCAACATTCACATAATATTCATTGAATTCATTTACTATTTCATTTTATCGTAGATTTTTTTGTCATCTTTTACAAAATACTGTGAAATACCTGATCGTACTTCATGATTTGTCAAAACACTATTTATTACTCTCCATGTTACTTTCATATCTCTCTTACTTTTGCTTAGTAAGTCACTATAATATTCTTTCTTATGTTTCTTATAATCATACCAGTTTGTTTTGTACTTCTTGTATCTTTTTCTGCTTCTTTTGTTCTTAGTTCATGGTTTATTAACAACATTTCTCTTAACACAGTTTTTTTGCAAACAATTCTTTTCATACAGAGTTCCCAACATATTCATAAACACATCAAACACTCTGTTTACATCATCAACATCCTTCCACTTGTGTTTTTTCAAATCATCTTTCAATTTATCCAAAACTTGTTTTTTTAATGCAATTATCATTTTCCTCTTCACTGTTGCTACTTTTTTTTACTGCGTTGGTAATTTTTACAAATTGCATAAACTGTCAAATGATCACTTATATCAGTCATCAATATCCTCTCATCACCTCGACATCTTTTACGTTATAAAAACATTATCAATCACTGCAGCACTATGTGTAATTCTTGTTGTTTAAGTATTAATGGACAGACGGACAGATGGACAGATGGACAGATGGACAGACGGACAGATGGACAGATGGATAGACATGTCTCCAGTTTCCGTCTTGGCTCCATGACGGGGGACAATAAAGTTGTCATAATCCATTACAGACTAAAGGTCAAAGCACAGTCTCATTTTGACCTTGAAGAAGAGATAAGATCAGATTCCTAAACTTTCACGTTTGATGTTTCCCACCTGGGGCTGAGTACTGAACTTCGGTTCTTTTATGGTACCGACCGACCTGCTTCGGTCGGTGTATGGATCAAAACACGCCTCTTCTTTCGGTCTCAAGTTTCGGTGATTGGCTGTAACGTGACACGTGGTTTCAACCACGTGTCACGTTACAGCCAATGACAGAGCTGCAACGCAGGAGAAACACAGGCGGGGTCACGTGGGTTCTAAGGCAAGTCTTAATCTGCAGCGCTTGACCGTGCACAGAATTTAAGAGCATAAAGTTGCTCCATGTTTGTCTGAAAAGAGAGAGTCAGTCTGTGGGTGTTGGAGCCTGAACGGCCTGATTCAACATCTGCACGACCGGACTCTGCTTCATCCGAGGACGGAGCTGTGTCTGTTTCAGCTGGTGAGTTTACATTTGGTAACGTTACTGCAGCTGAACACGTGCATCGCTGAGAGTTAAACTAGATCCATGTAACACTAACTTTAAGATATTAGTGTGGAGCTTTATTTCATGGATACTGTATATATTTAAATCAGAAGCTAACTAAAGATTGACAGTAACAGATGAAGCTTGTAAACGTGTGCTCATCCATCAGGTCAGCTGCTTAAACAGTTCATCTGATGTTCATGTTCTGCTCACAGGAGGTTCTGACCCTGATGTGAGGAGGACAGACAAAATAAAAGTGAGGTGGGGGCCACAGGACAGTCACAAACTTTGTTGTTAAAGTTTGCTGCTTTTTCTACAGTGGAGGCTGCATGTTGGAGGTAAGTAAACTGTAAAGGATTTTGTTGACCAGTTAAACCAGTATCTCTCAGCCTAGATAATGGTTTTTGATCAATAACAACACAACCATGTCATTGTTGATGTTCTCATGTCAATTAGGGAGATGATCAGAGCCCTGAACCCCAGAGAACCACAGAGAAGATTCAGGCAGAGACACAGAGGTGCAGAAGTCTGCATCAACCCTACCTCAGTAAATCCAGTGACCTGCTGGTGGGATGTGAGGGACAATATGTGAAACTGACAACCAGGTATCTGTGTGTGCAACAAGCATCATCTACAGCCTCAGAGTGAACATGTTCTACTGCTGGAGACACCATCAGCCAGGAGCAGCTGGTTTGTGTCCAGGGAAAACAGACATGTTGATGTTTCTGAAGAAGAACTGTTCAGTGAAAAGGTCCTCAGTGTGAAGCAGTGAGCATTAGACACTGACGTGTCACTGGTTTGAAACTGGTCTTTGAACTGGAAATTATTTGTTTATGTAAGAAAACTGCTTGGAATGGACAAATACCAAAGTTAAAAAATAAAACTCACGATCTGTACTGTAATGTGTAACGCAAGTTTATTCTGTTAGAATTAATATTAATCATAAAATTGGTACCGAAAAAAGAACCGTCCAGGAACCGACACTGAAGTGAAGGTACCGACAGTGGTACCAAATTTTTTTGAACGGTACCCAGCCCTGTTCCCACCACCTGCTGACAGACACACGTTCAAAGAACAGTTTCCGGTGCTGCAGCAGTAAACGTGTTTCTTGTTTTCAGAACCAGCTGTTTGAGCAGCTGGATGTGACTTTCAGTCCTGCGAGACGTTCTCTGCTTCAGCTGGAGGACAAGTGACCTCGGCGTGGACGAGGTCATTATTTTATTACCTTCTGCAGCAGCTCCTGGACCTGCTCTCTGTCCTGTCGCTGGCGGTTGTTGAAGACGTGGTACCCCCCCCCACAGCGCTCGATCATCTGCCTCAGGCCGGGGTGTTCTCTCTGCAGGTACTCCTGTGGAACAACTGGTCGTTTAAAAGTGCTCATCCCGTCTTAACTGACCCGACCTGAACCGAGTGATTTCAAACTGCAGCAACGTATGAACGGAGGAAGAAGGAGCAGACTGATGAAACATTTCACGGCTACAGGACGAGCAGGATGTTTTACTGAAAAGCTAATTTGATACTTTTCACATTTTGGGTTGGACGTTATCACCAGAACTGACCTCAGCTGTTTGTCCCATCAGGTAGTCTCCACAGGTGAGCAGCACCACCGTGTGATCCAGGATCTCCTTCCCAAACAACTCTCCCAGCTCTGCAGGAACCCGACCCTCCATCTGGGGAAACACCAGGAGGAACAAACTTCATGGATGAATATTGATGCCTATCTGATAACAAAGTATTGATAAAGTATTTGAGTCATGTGCATGACGAACCTCTGTGAACTGGCTGACGGGCACCAGCAGCAGAACGGCGTGCGGGCCCGGTGCGAGCAGCGTCATCGCCCGCTGCGTCTCCTTTCTGACGCCGTCTTCCATCTTGCAGCCGTTCCAGTACCACCTGGGAGCCTCCACCAGGCTCACGCTCCGGCCCTCACTGAGGCCCTGCCGCAGCCGGCAGCTCCGAGAGTCGACGTCGGCGGAGGCGAGAGACACCCGGCCCAGGATGGTGTCCGCTGACGACGTCTTCCCACATCCAATGTTCCCCAGAAGAAGCACCCTCAGGTCCGAGGACATGCTGGAGTTTTCCCTCAGGTGTTCACTCATACCTGAAATGGAGTGCTTGGTATTTGAACTACAGTACAGCGTTCGTATTAAAGTTAAGGCCTGTGGGCCACATATGGTCCATGTTGGATAACTAGCTGGTCTTTGAGTCACTTATTAAAACTGATCCGTCAGTGGCAGATCAGATCTGTGGCTTCTAACAAGCATTGAACTCAGCTGCTGCTGAGAAAATAAACAGCTTCAGTCATTTTTACAAAGAAAGAGCAACAAAGAACATCCAGATGTTGCTGATGTGCATCAAGAAAACCGTTTACATTTACAGAGTTTCACTTTTGTTGTCATTTCACAATAAAATTTAAATGTTGGTAGTTTTCTGTCTGGATTTATTTTGAAACTGCTCAGAGATGGTCAGAATCAGAATAAACTTTATCATTGCACCGAGATACAACGAGAACGTGCACGTACAGTCGTCTAAAGACGGGCGGAGTGCACAAAGCTGCTGCTATAAAAGCGCGGCCTCTTATTCTTATTCAGAATAATATTTTGCTTAGATGATAAAAGGAAAGAAAACATGAGGAGAGACGGAATAAAAAATAAAAGATCTCACACCGTGTCCTGGACAGGGCACCATGTGAGGCATCAAACAAAGAACCACAGCAAAGAAACATAAACAGACGTGATACATGAACATACAGGCCGGAAGATGTTGAAGTTTAAGGGAAAGTCGTAGCATAGTCCAGAGCCCCCACCCCCCACCCCCCACCCCCCCAGCCATTGTCCAGATAAGAGGTGACATTTAACATCATCCAGACTGATTTGTTCCGCCTCAAACTTGTCCTAAATGCCGACAAAACCAAAGGGATGCTTTTTTCAAATAGGAAGTTGGTCCCAGCAGTTCTTCCTCTGATTTTATCCTCAAAAGGTGTCCCCATTGAGTTTGTTGATTCCTATAAATATTTGGGTATCTTGGTCGACTCACATCTTTCTTTTAAGCTCCACGTGGAAAACTTGATAAAGAAACTGAAAGTTAAACTGGGTTTCTTTTTCAGAAACAGATCCTGTCTAACTCTGAATGTTAGGAAACACCTTGTATCTGTGACTTTCCTTCCCTCCATTGATTACGGTGACATTATTTACATGAACGCTCCTACAAGAACCCTGCAGATGTTGGATGCTGCAGATGTTGGATGCTGTCTATCATGGTGCACTAAGATTCATAACTGGCTGTAACTACCGTACCCACCACTGCACCCAGTATTCACTGGTTAACTGGTCACCAGTAACTTCACACAGACTCTCTCACTGGTACATTTTCATCTTTAAATCACTTCCTGGTCTGCTACCTTCATACATCTCCTCCTACATGTCTCTGCGTGAGTGCAGCTACAGAGTGCGCTCTCAGGACATCATTACCTGCAGTGTTCCCTCAGTGAGGACTGAACTAGACAAAAGGACCTTCTCCTGCTCCGCTCCTGTTTCCTGGAATATCTTGTAAAAACATCTGAAGCTCTCGACCTTTGACCTCTCTAAGTGTCTTTAAGAATCTGTTGGACTCCTGGCAGGGACCAATGCTGACATGTTCCTGTTTTTAGGTTTCTACATTTGCCTTAGAATCTATCTGTTTTTTTTTTTTTTTTCAGGTCTCTCTTGTAAATGAGTCCTCGAGGCTCAATGGGATTTACCTGTCTAAATAAAGGTTGAATGAATGATTGATGGAACTCCAAACAGCTGAACTGATTCCTTAAAGTCAAACTCACAGCTTCTCCAAGGTTATTCCCACCTTCATGTGGGCTGCTAGAGAGTTCACAGTCCTGATAACAGCTGCTCCAGCTCCCTGCTGCAGCTGCACATAATTCAGTCTGAGTGCTGCCGAGCTTCAACACATCCACATTAATTTATAGACAATCCAGAATTCACCAGCCAAACAGCAAAAAACAGTTGTCATCATGAATCCAATTTGTTTCAGTCATTCATGTTTCTAACAATAATTTCATATAAACTACTGAAAACTAAAGTCATGTGCACGTGTCTCACAAATATCCTGATGCATGCTCACAAAGTACTCAACAAGCTTGGTCAGTGTTTCTTCTTCCAGCTGCTCCTTCTTCAGGGTCTCCACAGTGAACTAACTCACATGAAGACTTGGAGGTTGTTTTTACTCCAGATGTTCTTCCTGACTCAAACACAGACACGGAGCTACCACAGCCTCTGAGTGGAGCATAGAGCTCCATCTAGGGTGCCCAGGGGAGCAGATGGTGGGGGTTAAGGGTCTTGCTCAAGGGCCCAGGGTGTGGAGTGGTGGCACAGACATTAGAGAAGATGGTCTTGTCTTCAGAAAGTCGCGGGTTCAACTGCCGGTACCGTCAATGTCAAAATGTGGGTGGAAAAGGTGAAACACCTACACCTGTCTCCACGCTCATTTGCCCCACTCTGGGCCCTTGAGCAAGGCCCTTAACCCCCACCATCTGCTCCCAAACACAGATCTCTCTTGAAAATGAGTTCCCTGACTCATTGAGACTAACCTGGATAAATAAAGAGTAAATGAAAAAATTAGGGTGGAGGCAGGTGTGGGTGCTTCACCTTTCCTATCCACATTTAGATGTTGTCAGTAGGGGAGTTGAACCAGCGACCTTCCAGTCACAGGCTCACCTTCTCCAACCTCAATCAATCAATCAATCAATTAATTTATTCACTCGATTCAAAATAATATCATCAGTTTACAAACCCATTCTCTGACAACACTTATTTACACGAGTGAAGGACGAGCAGGGAGAAGATCTAGTATAGACCTGCCCCCTTTCTCAATAATCACAAACATGTCATGGCCGTGTTCATTAAATGAACAAAACAAGTTGCAAACAATATAACAACAACAACAACATGCAGAACAAATTATCACTCTTCTCATTAACAACTTCAAAGTGTACAAGAGTTAATCAGTATTTTTTTATGAAGAGTTTTGAATTGGTTTATTGTCGAGCATTTTTAACTCCTCATCCAAACTGTTCCATAGTTTTACTCCGTGCACCGAAATGCACATTTGTTTTAAAGTAGTACGCACAGTTTTACTTTTGAAATCATACTTCCTTCTGGTATTTCTATCACATGAACTTAAGAAAAAGAACTTTTGTAAATTAAATGGCAATAATCTCTTTCTAGCTTTAAACACAACAAAGAGCATTTTTAAACGAACCAGATCCCTGAGTTTCAAGATATTTGACTGAATAAACAATTTATGTGTTCTCTAGTGTTCACTTTATATAAAACTCTCATAACTTTCTTTTGTAAGACAGACAACGGTTTAGTGTTGGTTTATATGTGTTGCCCCATACCTCTATACAATAAGTCACATATGGAACAACAAATGAACAATATAATGTCTGGAGTGTTGATAGTTCTAAGACATGTTTTACTTTATTTAGAAGTCCAATACTTTTGCATAGTTTTAGTTTTATATATTTTATGAGATTTCCAGTTAAGTTTATGATCTAAAACAACCCCTAAAAATTTAACTTCATGTACTCGTTCAACTTGATTATCATCTATAGACATTATAATAGAATTATCTATTTTTCTGTCACCAAAAATCATGAATTTTGTTTTATTCCAGTTTATTGATCATTTGTTGTATTTAAACCACTCGTTAAGTTTAGACATCTCACTGGCCAAACATTCTATAATGTTTTTACGTCATTCCCAGAACAAAATTAATTTGTATCATCTGCGAACAGGATGATTTGTAACGTTTTAGACACTTCACAAATGTCATTGATATACAAAAGAAAAAGCTTTGGTCCTAGCACTGAACCTTGAGGGACTCCACATTTTATATTTTGAAGATCAGATTTTTCATTTCCTAGCTGTATAAATTGTTTTTGGTTAGACAAATAACTACTCAACCAGTTATGACCCATCCCTCTTATCTCATAATCTTGTAATTTGGAAAGTAATAAAGTGTGATCGACTGTATCAAAGGCTTTTCTTAAATCAGTAAACACCCCCACTGTGTAATGCTTCCTTACCCCCACTGTGTAATGCTTCCTTTCTATTGCTGCTGTAATTTCTTCATTTAGTTCTAATAATGCAAGGGATGTTGATTTATTTGATCTAAAGCCATATTGACTCTCACTCAACAAGTTATTCTTTTCAATATAACCATCCAGTTTCTGGACAAACCATTTTTCAAGCACTTGAGAAAACTGGTGGAGCACCGAGACCAGTCTATAATTATCAAAACTATGTCTATCACCATTTTTAAATATTGGAATTACTTTTGCTAATTTCATTTTTTTCTGGAAATATGCCACTCTGGACTGACAAATTACAAATATAAGTCAATGGTTCAATAATAAAGTCAATAGTTGTTTTAAGAATCATCATATTAATTCCATCACTATCAACAGATGTCTTAGTTTTGCTTTTCCTGACTATAGTTAGAATTTCATGTTCACTTGTATCTCCAAGAAACACTGACTGTGACATTCTACCACCACCCTGCACACCCTGAATATCATTTGAATGGAAGAAGCCAAACCTGGTCCTTTATTTATAAAAAATTAATTAAATTCATTCACCACTTTATTTTTTTCAGTCGATGTTGTTTCTCCCTTAAAAACAGTTTTTCCAGACAATGAGTATAATTAGGTCTTACAGTACTATTCAACATTTTCCACGTTCTTTTCATATCGCCACTGCTCTCTCTACTTTAAATTACAGTAATCTTTCTTAGCTTGTCTTATTAATGTTGTCAGTTTGTTTTTATATGTCTTGTATTTCAACTCTTTAGGTTTAGTTGGAAATCTAACAAAATCTCT